TGCAAAGTTCGTGCTGATGCAGTTTCAATAGTTTTCTTACTCCAAAGCTTGTTTTTTAATCGAAGATGATTTCTCATTATTTTTTGAAATTGGTCAATCTACAAACCTCTCAATTCTAAGCCACTTAAACAAACAACTATACCAAATCACAGAAAATCTTATGATTTTCCATGTTGTATTTTGTATTTTTAGTTAATCATTTAAAAATGAAGTAATTATAATTAGGATATTCACTGAAACCGCTGAGTATAATATATTTTTGGTAATGAATTGTACAAATGTATCCTAATTCTGTAGCTCAAAGTAGAACATTACTTCTCTTCTAGATTTGTTGATGATATTTTAATTGCAGGTTTTGGTTTATAAGATTACAGAGCCATATCTCCATAATTTCAGCTATTTGGGCTTTTTAATGTATATTACAACTGTTGCTACCTTTCTCTATATTAAAATATTGCTGGCTTTCTGATATATATTTAGGTGCTGCTAGCTTTTTTATATATATATTTCACTGGCAATACAAGGCATAGAATTTGAACAAACGGGGCTGAGCCCCCTCCAGCACACCCCTGGTATGATCAATAAAACCATACAGAAGTTGTGTCATTTATTTATATAAATTTAACTCTTTGCTAAGTTAAAGATTGGATCAGACTCATATGCTGTATAAAAGACTACGAACAGTAGCATTTATAGCAAACAGACTGTTCTTCAACAACAGAAATGTTTCATGTTATAGAAATAATATATTCATTTTAAAGAAATGCTTCACCAAAATTTTCAGCAGAATCTTTAACAAACTTTATTAGAAATAAACTTTAAAGTGCTTATATTACGAATTTTAGACCCCCTTTTTTATGAGCTTAGTTGAAAATTTGGATTATTTGAAGAACTATGACATGTCGCTGGACTTAAACAGATAAATATAAGTTCCTTAATTTTGCCTCCAAAGTCGGGTACTATTTGCGAATTTTTTAGGACGCCATTATGATACTTGTGACGTAGATAGATGAACACGTCTGTTTCCGTCAATATAATAATATATTATAGGAGGTGATTTTGTTGTCGTTTTTCTTGTCTTAAAAACAAATAATGACAGTATTTTCAATAAAATATTAAAAAACAAGTTTTCCGGAAAGTATAGCCTAAAATCAGTGCTCAGATAATTCGAATCCGATGTCTGAATGCGTATCTGATTCGAGCTCGGAATCCGTGGGTTATGTCAAGCATTTAAACGACTTCGCATATGACGATGAACCGCTCGCAGGAGATGGTGATGAAGTGCATACTCCAGATGATCCCGATGGAATTCTCCCTGCGACATTAGAACAACGAAGTGATGGCGTAATTCCACTCGGTGAATGGTAAGTTGTTGTTTTCTCCTGTTTGTAATTTACATAAAGTTACTTTATAAACGACAATGCTCCCACGTTTCAGGTGTAATTGTCAATGCTGTCATACCGATTTGTTAGAAGGCGCATTAGAGTACAGATGCTGTAAGGAATTAAGACCAGTTTTGCAGAAAATGACATTCGATGGCAGCATTGAGAAAATATCACGCATAACACAGCATGCCAAATTTGGGCCTTTAGTTAATGAGGCTGTCCTTGAAAACGTCGGGCCACTATTGAGAGATAGGAATGGACGTGCTTATCGCCGCCAAGCATCACAATCATACTTCAACATGCTCAGCTCCATCACTAGTAGATGGTACTTCCTCATCGAGAGAACATATTTCCTTCCGCGATGGCTTATGGAGAGTATGTCGAATAATCTACAAAACTTATATCGAATTTACATATGACAAAAGAAAAATTAACATAAACAAGCGTAAACTTACTTGTCTTCGCTTTCGATCGGTTATTTCGTCCTGTAATGGTTCAGGAATCCCAGCCACGTCAATGGTTGGGATAGCATCTTTCTTCAACCTTCTTTTGAGCTTGACTTGCACGCTCAAATTAAGGTCAAAACAAGAATTTTCAAAATGCGCAGAACACAGACACGAGGTAGAGGAAGCCTCAAAACCCGGTGTATGTTTACGCACAAAAATTACCCATTTTCTATGTCTTTGCGGCTCTGTTTCGTTTTTAGGAAACAAATGCATCGACATTTCTTCGGTTTTTGAATCATTGGCGCTACTAATTTGATTAGGTCCGCCAGCAACACAGCGTTTTCCTCCGCGTTTCTTATTAAGATTACTAGTAGAATGCGCATGTTGATATATGTGTTCAACTTTCTACGTCACAAGTCATTAGCATACCGATCAAAAAGTTCGCAAAAAAATGCTGAAAATCGTGACTTTGAACGTCCGTAAAATCACTTTCACCAATCCAATTTCAATTATAATTGCAGATTTAAAATCACTGAAACAAGGTCTTTCAATTTAGCTAATAAAAAAGGGGGGCTAAAATTCGTAATATAAAGTGTTAAAGGCGAAATAACTTCATATAACGGAATAAAACGTCCAAATGCATCTTGGTCAAATCATTGCATATTTCAATAACTAAAAAGTAAAAAAGTCTGTCATTTTCTGCTGAGCAAGAAAATTTTGTGATCTTTCAGAATAAAAAATGTCATGCTTGGATTAAATTGGAGGGCATAAACAACTCACTACCATTAAATTGTTACAAATCTTGAACACAAATCTTTCCGGACCAAAACTGCATGATTAATATGATTCGAAGTTTCGAACAAAGTCTTGTCCAACTATTTGATAACACTGATGCCAGGATAACATTGCCGCTTGCCACCAAGCTTAAAGTTCTTGAAAACTTGTTACAGAGTGGGAACATAAGCCGAGAAAACATGTTCACGTACGAAAAATACTTCTTGCAATGGGTCACGATCAATTTGAAGCACGAACTAGTAAACCGCAAACGAAGCTCAAACCAATGAAATTAAATCAGGTCTGCCGCAAATCATTAAAAAAACGCAAAGAGCTTGCTATTATTCTTAATATATTTGATACTACCATGGAATAAGCTTAAATTGCCTTCTTCTTTTGCATATAAACCCAATTTCCAATAGTATTATTATTGTTTCACTTTGCAAGTAGGAACCAAAATGGCGGCTCCGCGCTCGCACCAGACCGTTTGTCCCAACTCTTACTAATAGAGGGCTCTGCCACGTACAACATTCAACAACAACAAGCGTCATTTTCTGCTCCCCATTCCGTCCAAAGCGGCAAATCATACGGTAGCCACACCCTATTCTATTCTTATTGTTTAAATTTGCGTTCGTTTATTCAGTAATTTATGCAACGGCTTGAAGTAGGACTACCTTTTTTGTTCGACACCCTGTACATCTTTCGCGCAATGGTCTTCGAATCTATTTTGCAAAACAAGTAAAACATACAACAACTGCTGAATGCTTCGTGCTTTTTCGACCGTGCTGAATGCTAATAACTAATTTGCATTGTCTTACTTTACTTTCTAGGAAAGAGTTTTGAACGAAATCTTTGCAACTTCTACAATCAATGCTAGCAAGATACACTACAGTAGAGAAAGTCTCGTTTCTCAAAATATGTACCTTGCCAGCACCATTACGTTATCGGTTATACTTACCCTCGTATTCGTGTTCTTTGGAACTGGTATTTACTTCTATTGCGCAGACGCAATGGCCAACATCCGGCCGAACAAGCTACCACGGTAACAGAATTAACGACTATTTATCTGGGGGTCGACAAAATGGTTGTAATCTGATTAAAATATTAGTGATAAACCAATCAATGATCTGCACATTTACAGTTTTGTTCTAAGACGAAGGTTGCGCATGCTCAATATCAATATGTCTTTTTTGTCAAAACGTTCAATTATAATTACATTTTTTCCATATACAATTATCGTGAAAAACAATTTGCCTTCTTAACATGATGAACGGATACTCTTTTAATATACTGTCGCTTTCCGATAGTCAGATTGATTGAGAATTGCTATCCCACTAGCACAAAGATTAATACCTGAGTATAATAACAATTCATGCTCGTGTTAAGGTATTATATACTCCAGTCTAGTGTCAGTCTAGTGTCTTCATTAAATTGATGAATTTTTAACAGGTTCCGTTTTTGATCTGGACGGGACCTCTTTTAAGTACAATGTTCAAACAAAATTGAATATCGAACAGAAATAGTTCATTCATTATTACTCTGACGATGGATGATCATTTTTGTCAATTTGATTGTCAACACCATTTCCGATTAATTATTACTTCTGTTTGCAGCAACCACTTTCCTAGTTATAAAACCAAGGAATTGAAAATAAAAAATTTTGTTCGTTTTACAGGCTCGCAGCGTTTAATATTTCAAAAACTATGTTGTCGGGCTACTATGGGCAGGTATAACACGATATTTAAGAGACGCCGGTATTCCAAGAGCTCGAGAAGAGAAGCGTTAGACTATAAGAATGTATATTCGATATAATATTATCTAATGTTGTAAATTAGTCTGCAATACATGTTACAGGCCATACTACTAAGCTCTTATTAACAAAACGCGAGGTCTTTACCGAGAATCATCGAACAAAGGCCTATGAATTTAAAATGTGGTTGCAGAGTTATGACTTCCTTAGCAACCGCCATTGCTACGTATCGTCAAGACACGGGAATATACTGTATATTGACAATACAGTCGCAAAATGCAATGAAAAAATTGATTTAAAACTACACTGTCTAAAATAGATAGCACTGCCATTAAAAATACAAGTACTGACTTTATAGTAACATATCAAAAATGAGGGTTGACCGCTTATTTTGACTATAGCCCAACATCGTATCCTTAGTGAAAATTCACTTTCCGCCTTGCAAATCTCTAGCAACGATATTGAACAATTAGAGAATGTATAAGATGGATATCATATAGCTATAGAAGTGGTTTTGTTAAATTTTCTTAACAGATATTTAAGGATTGGTATTGCGTATATAATGTTGTAATAATGCAATAACGAAAGTTAAAATAGCAATAATGAAAGTGAAAATCTGTGAAAAATGAAAGTGAAAATCTGTTCTTGAAATATCCATAACTCAATACTTTCGTTTAGCTATTCCAAGTAATTCGTTTAAAAACAATTTAGCGTGACGAAGATTTCGATATTGCAAGATAATTCTTCTTTCATTCAATCTTTCGTTCGGTTCTCCAACGAATGTATACTAAAAATTATGGCAGACAGCGACTTTCGTACTATCGTTGTAACCGGAATCAACAAGAATACAAGTAAAGATACTTTAAACAACTACTTCTCATCTCGAAGACGGGGTGGCGATCTTGATTACATTGAATACACACCACGAAGTGGAACAGCGGTGATAAAGTTCTCGCAAACAGAAGGTAAAAGTGTTAAAAATACCTCGTCTCTATTAATCTTCAAAAACTAGAATTCGAATTAACGAGACACTGCTGTCCAAACAATTCGGCACAACACTTAAAATTTTTTAGTATTTTGCTGACCGTGTTTGTATATCAATTATATGAAACTTAAACAGGTTGTTAAGTGATATTTGTCAGCCAGAGCTTCTGCCTGTCAAGCTGAACATGCTAAACATTCTTAAAATCTAAATTTTTGTCTGAAACCTATCGTTTTGTGGCGAACATCTGTTCAAAACAGTGTGTAAAATAGTTCTGTTTGTGCTGTCAAAAATAACATACGCTTTAAATAATCCTCCCTTCCGATACACCCTTCCACTACGTTGTATATTTCATATAAAATGCTTCCTTTAGTCATACTTAATGCCTGTATTTAATGCGCTTACGTTGTACTACCTTGCGTCAACAGCGGAATATAAAACAATAGCAAACTTATTTGGAGTTTCTCGATCGTTTGTGTGCATATGCATCAGAGACGTAAGTCGTGCTATTACAAAACGAATGTCAAAGTTTATTACATTTCCACGTGGACAAGACATACATCAAGTTATTGATGGATACTACCGAAAATGGGGTTTTCCTATGTGTGCTGGGGGCAATAGACGGTACTCACATCCCAATAATTGCACCCACTGAGAGCCATGAAGATTACGTGAATAGAAAAGGTTTTCACAGTATAATCATGCAAGCTTGTAATTATTTGTTTCGTGACGTTGTCATTGGATGGCCTGGTAGCGTTCATGACGCACAGTTTTTCTCAAATTCTGCTATTTACAAGCAAGGCAACGAAGGTAAACTGTCCCCCCCTGATCTTAAGAAAGAAATAAACGGAGAAGAATTATCCACAGTCATTTTGGCGGATCCTGCGTACCCATTGCTGCCGTGGCTCTTAAAAGGTTATCCTCTTAAAGGTGTTTTAACTAGAAAACAAAGAGTCTTCAACTATCGTATAAGCAGAGCGCGAATGACTGTCGAAAACACATTTGGCAAATGGAAAGGCCGCTTTATCAGATTTAGTAAGCGGGTCGATATGAATGTGAAGAATTTGGTGATTCTTGTGTTGGCATCTTGCATTTTGCATAATATTTGTGAAGTGCAAAATAACAACTTTCTGCCACAGTGGGAAGAAAACGTTGACCAAGAACTTGTGGTAACAACTAGTGATGTAATTGAGGACGATGGTGAAGACATTCGAGAAATATTACCTGACTATTTTGACTCACAATGAAATATTCAAAACATATAATTATGTTAATTATTGCAACACACAACATAAGATTCATGAGTGTACAAATATTGTATTTAATGTTCAGATAGCATTAAACAGTTCCACAAATATAACTTCAAAACAGAACTAAAAGACACAAGTGACCATAAGTACTTAAAAATAAATACTTTTCAAATACTTTAAATCATAACCTGAAATATGTTTTTTCTTCATCATCATTGCTGTCTACAAAGCTACAGCCTGGAGTTTGGATACTGGTGCAGCCATTTCCAAATGTCTGTTGTTGAAAACTTACATATGGTTGGGCAAACATTAGTGATGAGCTGCCAGTAGATTGGATGTTCTGGGTAGCCTGTTTCCCAAATAACAATTGGAAGATCTTTAGCTCATGCTCTCTTTCCTGGTTTCTTCGTTCATTCTCGAGTCGCATTTGCTCTAATTGAAATTGCTGCTCTTTTTCCAATTTAAATTCTTCAAGCTTTTTATACCTACAAAATTATAATCAAATAATGATTGTGACAGACATGGTCAGAGCTGAATACATCTGAGGGGTAGATGTCCAAAACAAAAGTTTCTGGTATTTTTTACCAAAAATACAAAACATACAAGCAATATATAAAGAAGGTGAATATACCTTTCAAAATCATCATTTGACATTGCCCAGAATTGTTCCACGGCAGCATCCATGCTCTTTTCAATAGAACTCCTTTTTTTCTTTTGTTTCTTTCCTAGTTTGTAAGTGTTTCCAAGACTCTTTTCTCCTAAGTCTGGCTTTGGTTTGTCATTCCGTTTATCATATTCAATAGCTCGATTCTCAGCTACAGTCTGTTGATTTACTTCCACATTAACTAAAGTTTAATTAATTTAAAAAACAATTACTAGATAGCTGGAGCACATATCTTGTTTTGATGAAATAACAAACAGAAATTGTCTTCCATACAAATATTACCTGTTTCATTTGAACTGTCACACTTTGGGCAAGAAAGTACATCTATTCTCTGTTGTGTGTACTCCATCACTATATATGACTTTTTCATAATCACATGTCTGGCATTTTTTGATGGATTTATCACCTCTACCATACCTACTGACAATATCTTTAAGATTAAAAGCAAAAAATGTTTTGTGACAAGATCATATCATCATTAAGCAAAATGTGAAAACATTTCATTTCAAAATTATACCATTAATAATGTCATCATTTTCATCATCAACATCATCTCTCAGCATGTCCGACTGACTATTTTTTTGACTATCAGCCTCAGCCATGATGTCGAGTAAAACCACTGGAGTCACATTAGGTCTTTGGGATAAAAATCTATCCAACTGTTGAAAGTATTTCCATGGCTTTTTTCTCCCATTCCCACTCTTCTTAGCATTGTCTTTTTCACTTTTATATTTTTGCTTCAATTTCTTAATTTTATTAATTACTTCTTTTAGTGTAATATCTTCATAGCCTCTTTCTTGTAATTGCTCCTTTAAAATGAATAACATGTTGCACCTTTTTTAAATAACAATAATGCATTGAACCAAGCAAAATATTAATGCGTTCGTGGCAATTTATTCCTACTATGTAGGAAATATAAGTTGTAAATGAACAACTTACAATAACACGCACTGTCAATAAAGGTTATAGATACGTAAACGTACAGCCTCAATGGCATCAATGAACTATTGAAAGGTGCAGTATTCATATGTTCTACTATGCCTGGCTAATTTCTTTTGAATAGGACACCACTTTCAAAAAAAGAGCTTGGCATAGCAGAATACATGAATATGGTCCGCCAATTAACGTTCCACTAACGCCAGTGCACAGCGTATGTAAAATCTATAGGATATCACGATAAAATGGCTTACCAGTAAGGACTTGTAAACCTTGCTTTTATCTTTGGATCCTTTTGAATTACCCAATGCAATTTGTATATTTTCGTCGCACCAAAGAGTTATTAGACTTCTTGTTTTTTCATCACTTCATTTCATGCATTTTGGTGTCGCCGCCATCTTTGTTTATTTTAATTCCCGCCATTTCCTTTTCGCGCTTATTATAGCTCATTTTGCTGATATAGCTAAAAACTCGGCACGGTGCCGCTTTTTTAACTTGCCGAGACTACCTCTTTCGGAGGTCCCGGCACGTTAAAATTTCAAGGCACCCGGCCCTTACATTTTAGGCCTGCTATCCGTTTACATGAGAAAAATTTGGAGAGCCGCACTCAAGAAAACAGGTTCGCGTACCTAAAATTTGGAGTACCGTGCCAAAATTGATTACCGTGTAAACGGGCCTTACGCCGCTCTCCCAGGAAATTGATTACCCTCTCATAAATTTTTCCCTCTCTAAAAACTTTAACTTGTATCTTGAAAATGGTGAAACGTTTTCCAAAACAAAGATCACAAGTGATCTAAGATATAACAGTTTATGTGGTCTACAAATATTTAGTCAAATAATATCAAACCAATCAGAATAATAATTGCACTTCGGCGATGACATCATGCGTTGGCAAACACTTAAAAATTCACCCTCTAATGATGCGTGAGTACTAAAACTAATGAGTCATGAAAAATAATGAAAATATTCCGCAAATTGAAAAGCACATCAAAAGCTTAAATAACTCACACATTTCATAAACACTTTCCTTGAGCACATTCCCGCTTAAGGTGGTCACCCCCTCTATAGCAACTTTTTTTTATTTTTTTAATTTTTAAAGTGAAAATAACATTTTCTGAATGAGTAAGGTGATAGAAAATGATGTGCACAAAAAAAAATTCAGGAAGTTGCTAATTACACTAATTATCCATTATGGCGGCCATTAATTAGCCCGTAATTAATTAACAGCATTAACATGATATCTCAAGAACAAGACATCACAATGAAACAAATAATACATTTTTGAAAAGCCAATAATCTGAGCTAGAGAATGACATTTTTCAATTTTCTTCAAATTTTTTTATAAAAATTTAACAGCCGATTTATTGAATTGTCAGATATTTTGGGTTTTAATCCACCATTTTTTCGGAAAAAAAGTGCAGAAATAATTCATCTATGAGGAAAATTTTAAAATTTGAAAATGTCAGTTTCTAGATTATATTGTACTAAATAAATATACAAAATATCAAGCTTCTACAATAAATATTTAAAATTACAGTGTCACAAGTATTGGTGACACACAAAAATAACGAAATGGAGAAAAGTCAAGTTAAAGTTATAGTAAAGTTTTCATATCATTATACAGGGTTTAAAAGCTACCTGACTCATATGTAACTCCTTCATTGTCCTCAGCCTTGTCTAAATACTTTTTTCTATAATATCTTAGGGATTTTCTTTGTCCCTTCACCTTCTCAGTGCTCTTTTTTGCTGAAAGCTTTATTCGAGCCTGGTCACAAATGTGCACCTTGGCAAGTGAAGAAACCTGGTGTTATGTCCAAATCTTCAAATATCTTTAGGAAGGAAATGTCTCCATCATTAAATTTCAAAACAGCTAAATAAGTGGCAAGAGCCACAGTTTCATGTTCAACATAGATTGTCTTCGACATCTATCCCAAATAAGTCCATTCAAACATTCATTTGGATTTTGTGTCAAACCATGCATTTGTTTAATAATGTAGTGTCAGCCAAATCCTCAAAATAGGCTCTAACAAATCAACAATGGACTTGGAAGGCCATTCTTGTGGTTATAACCATCCTTTTCACGTTGATATCACACCAACTGTCCACTCCTTTTGGACAAAGGTGATGCTGTGGATTCTCCTTTGTTGATGCCACATGAAAAAGTGATGCCTTCACAGCCTTTGCCATTTCCTCAACACTGTGAAGGTTTTCTCTGATTGCCAGACCATAATAATTTTGGAGCACATCTATTTTGCCATCAGTTAGTCTACCTTTACCTGACATACCCTTCCCATCAGCAGCTTTCCTTTACTACTACTTTGAGTCTTGCAACCTACTTCCCACTCTTTTCTGCACATGCCCAATGCACTCCAATTTATTTGGTAGACAATCTTCTCCATATGGTTTGCTTGCTAGAATTGCATTATATGTAGATGAATCACCATCCCCAAGCATATGTTTATACTTCAGCCCTCTTGTAGCAATGGACCTTTCAAACATCCTCAGTGCACCTGCCGTTCCATGCTGCCAGAACTCCCAGTATGATTTATTTTACAAACATGAGTTGCCTCCCATTCTTTAAATCTAGCATCACTTTGTTTCTTCCTCCACTTGATACACTGCTGACACTTGTCAGAAAGCACTTCTCCAAGGCACTTCTTGGTATCAAGGGAAATTACCGTGACAACACCATTGTGTGAAGAGTATCCTCGCTTCTGCCAGGTGCCATCAATGGAAATCCCACATTCTCCAGCATCATTTACAGTCAAGTCCTTAACATGCATAGCATTATTCATCATGCTGTCAATTGCACACTGTTTCACAACTGGCAAAGTTTTTGTTTTGAATTTTGCTAAAGTTGTCACGCCTTGGTGGAGGAGGCATGTTTAGAACTTTAGTAAATGTCGTCATAGCAGTGTGACCTTTACCAATCTCTAAAAGCTAGCACTGCTCGTACATTAATTTCATGGGATTGCCCTTCTTTTTGAAGAATTAAAACAATGCTTCCAATCGCATCCACACATTGCAGTACAATGTAATGAGCAAAGCCATGCTTCTTCCTCATGTCAACATGACACCTCACATCATCAGCACAGTCGGGACATTTCAGAAGGTTTTCGAATACGCCAAACAAGATCATTAAATCAATGAATATGGTACCTTCTCTTATAGTGTCAAAATTCCCGAGAAAGGAACATTTTTGCACTCGGTGCCAATTTTGCAGATGAAGGCCCAGCTGTTTGATCACTAGGTGCGCCATCTTTTAATCTCTTCGTCGTATTCTTAGGAGAAATTTAGGCCGTTTTCTTTCTGTTTTAAGATTTCCCATTTATTTTGAAAATACAATAAAAAACAAATAGAATTTATATAGAAACTAAAACAGCTCTTTCTTAACTTGAAATGTAAGAGAAAACTAAGATTTTCGTAGATGGCTTTGAGAAGCGTGTATATTACATGGCAGACAAAGTCATAGCGTTGTCAATGCCAACCAAGGCTAGCAAAAGCAACCAATCACGGAGCAACATTCATCAAAAGACTTGAAATTACATACGAAAAGGACAAACCAAAAATAATGGTTAAAATGGATTTTGGTCGAAATTTTCACGATTTTGGTACCTAAATGCGTTGCTAAGGCGTTGCTAAGGGTTAATTTCTTTGATAAGGTATGTTTGAGGATTTTTCTCACGGAGTATTATTTTTAAAGAAAATCAACACTGCAGACTTAAACTACAATACTTAAAGTGCCAAAAATGACCAAAAAAAATTTTTGGAAAAATTTTTAAAAATTCATCTGACAAGAGGGGGTGACCACCTTAATAAAACATTTAGCAAACGCAAAAAATCTTTCAATGTTGCAAACAGTTTCATCTAGAGTGCGTGTCTGTGAATTACCTTATAAGAGGTCAGAGGAATGTGTGGGGTGATATCTAAAGGACAAAAAAGAGTAATTTGACGTAAAGTAGAACAAAAAAGTTGTTATTACCAAATTTGTAACCAATGGTACCATGTGACATGCTTAAATTTATTATTAAATTTATAAATAGCTTCTAAACACGAAGAAATTTGATTTAAGTAGACACATAACCATTTCCGAGCTTTAAATGTAAAGCAAATTATAACTTTCTGTGTGTTTGCAAAATGTGTTTGAGAAATGTGCGAGTCATTCGAGCAAGCCTTTCTTTGTGCTTTTCAATTTGTGGAATATTTTTATAAGAATACAATGCTATAAATGTCTTTCCAAGCTACCTAAGGTTTTCAATCAAAGAAAGCAAAAAAAATAATTACAGTCGTATTTTTGAAAAACCAATGAGCAAAACCATCATTGAAATTCCCGAGAAGACAATAAATACTATCGTGTTGATGGATTTAATATAACATGTAGTGTTTTTAATGTAATGTAAATAGACATAAAATGTAGTGTTTTTCTAGGTACGAACCTTTTAAAAACGGCAAAAAATCGTTTTTACTCCTTAACCAATATTTCCAAAGACATCATCAGACTCATAGTTTACAATGCAGGCTGCGAAAATTTTATATAGTATTTACAAGCGGAAATGACCGTTATGTAATTAGAGAACTATAAGACTAAACAATCAGGCAGTATACTTACATTAAAATAGAGATAATTTCTTACACGCTTTGAGACCACTATTAAGTTGTGGCATATTGCGTTTTGTCAAAAGTGCTTCTAAGATGAGAAGTTGATTAGGATTATTAGTTTTACAGCGATATAAGATTTTGGTGTTACTTGCAATCAAATTAAAAGGATTAAGTGGCACACATGTGAGATCGGGGTCGGAATCAACGTCAGGAAGTGAGAAAAGGTGTGAGATGTAGTTGGCGTCTGGACAAATGAGTAAATGTTGTGAGATAGCACTAGAATTATTGTAATTAGTGGCATGTTGGGTTAGTCTTTTGAGCATTTCAGTGCATATGAAATGGTTGACACAAATGAGCTACAGATAATATGACAGCAAGAGCTACTATACCCATTGCCACTGCATTTGATTAATATTTCAGTTCATGGGCAAAACAAAATATTTGTGTGTCCAAAATATCAACTACCTGTTATTTAAGGAACAAAACTTTGCATTTTTACGTTGAATTAAAAGGCGAGCATAATATGAATAAAAACATAATCAGAAGCATAAACCTCCTCTAGTAGAAAAATATGTTTCCCATTAAAACAAAACACAACCTCTGTTGCATTTGAGTTGATCAAAAGCAACAATCGCAAAGAGAAACGTACTCAAGAGAAAAATAGTCTGAGCCCTAGACTGTTAAGATTCTATCTCCAGGTCATTTTGCCAAAATAACCTAAATGCAGCCTTTTCCATAGTACGCAAATATCTTAAATGGTTATTTATACAAGAGGCTATTCAAGATACAACGGAGTTCAGAACTTCAGAGTAATGAGAGCATGTATTCAGTATTCGTTTACAACTCTTACATTACGTGCTGTTGTTTAAATATACTATAAATCAATATATATATATATATAATATATACTTACTTTATTCAAGAAATCTTGGAGAAATGGACCATAAAAGTTAATATTCCGACAAAGTTGTTTGGACTCTGTTGACGAAGAAGCATGTTTCTTTCACTCTTGCTTAATTCCGCCATGTTGATTTTAAAAAGTGCGTTGCAGTTGGCATTGCACCAAACGCATGGGGTAGTTTTTACACCCACATGTTGCATTTACACCCAAAGAGGGTCATTGTAAACGTTACCATTATGTTGAGGGTAAAATTTAAACTACGGATAGCAAATTACCCAAGATTTTCGAGTAAATATTACCCTTTAGTCAATTACCCATCTGAAGGTAGTAAATACTACCCTAAAAAAGATAACTTTTACCCCCTAAAATTTACAGTGTAGTGACTCGATTGTTTTGTTACTCACGTTTAATTTGACGCGCGAATATTTGTCGTCAACACTCGATGTCCAATAGTTATTCTGACTGGTTTGATTCTATAGGACTGAAGTTATAGATTTACACAACTTATAATATCTTAAATCGCCTGTGATCTTGATTTTGGAAAAAAAATCGCACCATTTTTGACATAAAAGTTAAAGTTTTTAGAGGGAGCCAAATTTTCGAAGGCGGAGAAATTCATGCCAACTTTGAGTTTAATTGTGTTTTTTATTTTAACAGATTGAACTCTTACAATTTTTTGACCATTTTTATCGCTCTCGTTTTCACGGCTATGTTACAACATTTTACTCCGTCATTTTTAGCAAAGAAAAAAAGTTTCACGTAACCGTAATGAAACTCTTTAGGCAAGGTCTCAGGTGCTCACACGTAACCGAAACAGTAAAGTTTTTTACCGTTTTCATACTGTTACGGTTTGGTATACCATTGTATCATGAGAGTTCATGCAATTCCGAGAGTTCAAATGGATTCTTCCATTACGAATCTACATTACGTCTATAGCTTGAATTGAAGGCTATGTTTTCAAAGTAATAAAACTGTTTGAAACTCTTATCTAATTGGCTTAATCGTATCAAAGGCTACGTTAAACGCAGTATTTCTATGTGACATCATTGAACGATCTGCAAATTTTGTAGAGTGAGCACTGAGCAAAATTGGCATAGTTATCAGCTTTGCATCAGGTCTCTTTAAATTAACTGTAAAATAAAAATTTTAAAATATCATTGAAGAAATCTGTATTTATTCTCAAAATATTGAAGTTTTCTGATTTACAGCAGTTTTTTCAGAAAATGGCGTCACATTGCATATGAATGTGAATAATTTTGAGGATATTTCATGATATGTTGCATCAACCGGATATAGCTCCTGTCGTTTTGAAGCGTTAATGGAATGAAATTCTGCATTAGTATTTCATTCATAATTTGGCAGGAAACAAAAAGATATTTATAGATTTTCAGCCACTCATTATGCAATATGATGTTACTGGTTGTGTAAATCGACAATACAAAATATTCAATATCATAAGAATGATAAAAAGTTATGACTAGACTGTTTTAGAGAGTCCACAATCATTTTACGAGTTCTTTTTAATGAAACTATAATTTTAATAAGCCCGTTTTACAAATAGATCGCTTGTTTACGAAATGACTTGTGCCATGAATCACAAAACGGACATGTTTTTTTGTAGGAAAAAGCAGAAATTGAAAAAAATTGATATGGTTGTCTTCCCTCTACATAAATAATTTGCCAACTTTGATTTCAAATTTAGCTTAGCTTAGTGCCATCTTGGTTTCTCTCCCTCAGGAACATTTCTGGTGATAGCTACTGTAGCTGAGCATGCATTATATTCTACCCTTGAAAATGACGACTTTATACCTATAAAACATGCCATTTAAAAACCATATTCCACTTATTTTCCACAAGAAAACAAACAATTCATTTTTTAATGTTTAGGTGCAAAAAATGCTCTGGATTATGCTCAGCATCAAGTGGATGATTGTATATTGTCAGTTCGAGAAAAGACTAAGGATATATTTGAAAAAAAGAAAGTACTCGTGAGAGATGTTAAAGCAAGCACATCCGAAGATTGTCTTCGTTTTTATATGGAGAAAATATCTGATGAGATTGAGGTATCACAAATAAAGTATGAGGCAGTGGACCATAATACCGTAAATGCCATAGTAACATTTAAAGAAAATATTGGTGAGTAGTTGGCATAATTTAATCCTCATTGAGTTAATCATTGAAAGTTTTTGCTCAGATTGAATAAATTATACGACGTTTTTTGAGTGTTTGAATAATAAAGTGATGGCCAAACGTTCTAGGCTCAATATAATGAAAGATTTGAACGCATTTTGTTAAGTACTTGGAAAGAGTGCATGGGAAACATAAATCACTCTTTTAGACCAACTTCATTTACATTACGAAGAGACAAAAATTTATAAAATTGTTTTTTGTAGCTACATATACGCGTATAAATTATAAAAAAGAGAAATTTATTGAAGACAAAAAACTTATAAACAATTTACTTGCTTGAAATTTAACGTCATTAGTACGACGAAAATTTTGTTGTTGTGGTGACTGGCAGACGGCCGTGAAACAACGCACAGCAGGCAGCGGTTTTGACTAAACTATATTAAGTTGAAAATTTGTCTCTTACTCAAAAGTCAAATCTATTTATAAAGAAAATGTTTGTAAAATACTACCAAGATAAAGAAATCTTTTCGCATTACGCTATACCATCGTTTGAACAGATTCATGTGTATTATCAATTAAATCGCTGGCTTCATTATTTCAAAGAAAATTGAAAAATTTAGAAGTCACACACAATTTTGTTTGAATTCACTTTGATTCTTTTTTATTCCTTTGTACGAAGAAAATGACCTTTTCCTTTTAAGATTTCAAAACACTAAATGAAAGGTTTATGAAGAAACCTACGTTGGAAGACAAAGCAATAACGCTTGAGAGAATTCCAGAATGCAGAACAATATTAGTAAGTAATTTACCCCCTACAGCAACTTCAGACGCAGTTATGTATAAATTTGAAAGCAAAAGATCGGGTGGTGCCGAAGTTGAAACTGTTCACCTAGATCAACAGAAGAGGATTGCGTTGGTTAAGTTTAAAGACTACAACGGTAAAATGCTCAATTTATTAATGAAATGTGTGTTAATTTAAATGATAAAAGTGTTTTTAAGACTATGCAGAACATAACGGATACATAACGCCAGATTTTTACTTAAGGCAACCGCAACTCAATCACGAAGTTAATTGTTTGCTCGTTTTTTTCTTTACTGACATACATATTCTTAGAAATTGCATATTCGGCGTAAAATGGTTGTTTCTTGTAAGTATAGCAAGGAAGAGTAAGAGTAATCGGGTTTTAAGGACGCTCTCTATTGCAGACATTTGCACACGGCATTTAGAGAGTAAGCATGACCATAGGCGGCCCAGAAATTTGTTTATGTTTTTCATGCAATCGATTTATTTAGTATTATTTATAAATATATTCCTTGATTTATATGCAATGTTTGTCACTCGCGCTATCTTGCGTGAGTTGAACGTATGTATGGTCGTATAAATCTTATATTTTGACAAGGTTGGCAACTCTTAACACAAAATTAACGACCGTTAACACAAAAACTTTCACAAAACCGTAAATATCTTATAAGTTCATGGAAAAACACGAAAAACAAATACATCGAATAATTTTACTGTATTTTTGCAGTTTTTTGAACATTAATATGTATTTTAGTGCATACAAAAATGCAAATATTTTCAGGGTTTGTGGCAAATATTTCTCAAAACCACTCAAAACCTATGCTAGTGACAATTATCTAAACATTCGTCATATCTTTGAACGCTCAAGCGCAATACAGTTTTTTAAGGGTAAATGTCGTGTTGTGCCGTTTTATAGTTGTTTTCTTTGATTTGCGCATGCTCTATGTAATATTTTTCAAAATATTGAAAAAGAAAAATGATGAGAAGAATAGTAGCTAACTTCATTACATGACCAGATACAGAAACTATCAGTGTGAACAAAACTTATGGAAGAAGTGGGTATATATGCGACGGGCCCTGCAATTACTCTTACAAAAAAAACAACATACCAGCTACAATATGTGTTGGCAAATCCATAGTAAGGTCAAAATCAGCAAAACCTCAGTTATCACGGACACATTTTGATAAAATAGGATGCAAAGCCTTACGCTGGAGAAATCAACCAGCGTAAAAACACTTGCCAAATTTAAGTATGCAAATCAAATTAACGAGTTTGACTAGCTTATTTACCGTGCCGTGCCATTTTTTTTGTCGTGAATGCTAAACACGTACGAATGTAAATGCACACTGCCGTGCTGATTAAAAACGGAACTGTGCCAAATCTTAGCTGTGCCGTGCAAATTTTTGGACAGTGTAAAAAGGGTATAAGATGAATGACTGCTGATACAAATCTAACATTACTAATAATTTTTTTTGGTTTTTGAACTACCAGTGTAACATCAGGACTACCACTGGAATAACAGGACAGCTAGCTCGGTTTTAATTCTTAGGTTAAATAAAGAATCCTTTCATGTGTTAGTGCGAGCTTTTTCACCCACAACACAAAAAAAGATTTGTGTTTTGTTTTCGGGCTTTGTAGTTCGTACAAGTTATCTTTTTCGTTCGCATTTTTTATGAGCATTTGAAGCAATTTTATCGGGCATTGTACTGCTGTTATTTACGAGTTTATTTTTTAACATTTCGTCCACCTTTTCATGTCATCGTTTACAATGTCTTCCTTTGTTTTCGAGGATTTTGAAAAAGCATACCCACATTTAAAGTTGAAAGCAGCGGACTATTACTGTTGCCTTCAGAGTCGCCAACCCTCTGAAGACTCGTGCAAGAGTTCTTAAAAAAAATAGAGCCTTCCTTGGATTGAAAACCTCTGAAAGACAACGAACAGCAGCAGAAAACTTACTATTTACAGTAGACATGTTGAAATGCATGACTACTAAGGGGGGAGGGGGGGTAAATCGATTCCCAGATGTTAAGTTACAGTGGCCGACTATGATTTTTTGACTTTTTTGTACATATTATGCGCAAATACTATACTGAATAGCATCACAATCAAATTGCTGAACAATTCTTGCCTTTCTATCGTAATTTTAGATGGTTTAAGCCACTCGTATTTTGCAAAACAGGGTTGTGTTGCTTTTGTACTTATTCAGTAAATGATAAGTCCGTGAGTCATTGCTTGATAAAAAGACCTTTTTCGTCATTCAATCAACTGCTGACAAACTTCAAAAAACATATACTTCCCCCTCATCCATACCGGAAAAATGTTAAAAACGGTTAAACTTTGTTCATATGTGGGTTGCAAAAACTAAAAAACAAAAAAGAATAACATAGTTAAGTTTTCATTGCGTATAGTTTAATTAAAGCATACAAAGCCTATGGAGATTAAAACAACATATAATCCTAATAACAGCTCGCTAAAAACAGTTACTAACGCTTTAAAATGACAAATTTTCTTGATGCTTGTACAAAAGGGCAAAAAACTTACTACAGAAGCTATGTTAAAAAGAATCCAAAATTTGAAGCATCATTTGTTTACTTCGTGTTTTAATCCGGGATCTAAATTTGCCCACTCCCCCAAATCACGTGTCGCCTAATTTCGTCATCAATGCTTCCTCTAGTTTTATTTATACTCTCCATGATCCAAACACGGAAATGGAAATTGCTGACGTCAGTATGCTGTCGTGAGGATTTTTAACTTACCTTAAATCTAGATAGGTGATTTCCTTAATGTTGTAAAGTCAAAAACCTTGCTGTAATTTTCGTTATTTTTGCTTTTCACTTCGTTGTTTACCAAATTTTACGGCTTGGCTTGCTTGAGAGAATTTAGCTTTCATACTTTTGCTTGTTTAAATAAAGCTTAAAACAACCCTGTTGTTTTTTATTCTATAAAATATTTTGAAGTGTTTAGATGGTACATCCAAACACTTTTCTCGAATTAGAAAAGCAGTGTAAAACCCTTGCCTTCGGCTCGTGTATCGCACGCTTTTGTTAACTCTCGCGTAAATCCTGCGTGATTGGATCAGACGATCCGTTGTGTTTAACGATCCTGTTGTAACGTTTTATCGAATTTTAGTTGTAGACAAAGTTCTGTCATTGGATCATGTCCTGGATAGTTACAAATTGTTTTTGGCGAAGTGTGATGCACTTGGTGCTATAAATTTAAAATCACGAGGAGAGGCTTCCACTGTCCACGCCAATGAGCCCATCATAAAGAAACAAGACACTAATGCCATAGCTGCAGAAATAGATAGGGATATTTTTGAATTCATAAAAGAAAACAACGAAGAAAAATTTAAACTTGCTTTGCAAAACCAGAAGTATGAAACCATTTTTCAGACGGACAAAGTTTTCATCAAGTTTCAAAATGATAAGGACAAACAACAATTTCTTGTAAATGTCGAGGAATTTAAATACCAAATATTGCTGTTCGACCCAATGAAATTCACTACAGAGAAAGCTTGGCAAGATGTAAAATCTTTTATGGCGCAGTTTAACGATGTTCCTGGACCTAGCCGTTCAGTATCATTCGTAGTGTATGATGAGGGTTTTGTTAAGGTCGTAGGAAAAGACGTCCCTTCATTTTACACTGCATGTTCCAAACTTGAGAAATGTATTAGAAAAGCAGAAGAGAGAAACACTTTGATAACGAGCCAAATAGATGTTTCATCGAATCAAGCCAAATTATTAATTATGTCCGATGCATTTAACAGGTTTGTTTTAATTTTGAGTTTAAAATTCAAACTAAATTTTATTTATTAAACGCGATGAGTGGAAAAATTGGAAATTTCGTTCAAAGCCAGATATTACTCGTTTTTTCGTAGAATGAAAAATGTTCATTCTAAAAAACATTTTAACTGGTTTAGATATGAGCCTTATCTGTATAAATTCTTCAAGTTCAAAAGATCGAGAAAAGATAACTTAAAGTGCATGGGCAAACGATATTACCATACCCAAGATATAGCTAATTAATGTATGATATTTCCAGACATCGTTAAAGAAACTATTTTGCCTTTGGCCCGTCACAAAGGCACATTAAACACCTTATTAAGGTTTTACAGAAAGTGCATTTTGTTTTGTTGGTGAAAATTCGATGTTGTGATCTTTCTTCTTTGCTCTATTTTGTCACGAATTAAATAGCAGAAATCATTTGGTTGTATTATATGAAGTATAAACATGTATTTCTAAGAATGAAAATTTGTATTCGAAGAACATTGTAAAAGACACTTTATTGATGCAGTTAATATTTTCTGTTCCAACATTGTTCCAAGCCTCTGTTTTTCTTTAGCTAAAAAAGCGTATGTGTTTGATTTATGCAACATGAGAACGCAATTGATATGTCATTACACACGTTTGGTTCGAACGTTAAAGAAAAAAATTTGAAGATAATTAATCAGTAACATTAATTATTTCTGCGATTAATGTCTCTAACTTGTTTTCTCTCTTTGCATACCGTATAGAGCCTTTATAAACTCCCTATGAAGATATAACCTCCCACTCCAAATAAACCGCTTTTTTACATATACTTATACTAAAGAACCGCTTTTTTACATATACTTATACTAAAGTTACCACCCCCTCGAAAGTAAAAGCCCTCCCGAAACTAACCGTTCTCTTTACTGTTTATACATTTTTTGAGAGCTTTACGCATTTACACTTTATCCAAATAAGACGTTCATTTGAATCATCTACCTTACGCAACGTTAAATGCATTGAAAATATCGTTTGTACGACGCAGATGAAGTTAACCATTAGAATTAACTGATTCCAAAAAAGCAAATCAAAACTAAGAGCCCTGGAAAAATAAGTGCTCCCCTTCCGAAATTAGCCACTCCTTGAGAGCAATATTTTCGAAAGTACCTTGGACTGCTACTACCGTGGCATTTAGTAAGATTTTATTATCATTGTTTAGCTTTCAATATTGCGAGAATAAGGACTTCAAATGTTGAAATCGCGCATTTGCTATATAGTTAGAAATTAAAATAACAAATTTCGAGGAAAAAAATGTTCAAAGTAAATTTATGTCCCTTTGTTCTTCAAAATACTTATTGCTGCCGAAACAATAAAATCTGTTCTTATTTGTCACTTGGTTTGTGTAGAATTCAACGTTTTGTTCATTACGGCCCATTATGATTGTATGGGCTTGCGCGTTTGCAAATGGATTTGGAAGAGCACCTCTAAATTGATTTCGTTTGTGTATAGGTACAAAGATACTTGCACAATTGATGTGGATATACCATCAGGAAAAATAATGGTTAAAGGAGAAGGTAGCGTGGTAGAAAATATGCAATTTGAAATTGGAATTATTGTAAGCAAGTTTGCCAATCGTTTGCTGAGCGAAAGAAAATTCTCGTTGCTAAGAAATGATTCAAACTGCAGTTACGTGCAAACATTACTTTCCCAAGCCAAAAAGTGTGCCATTGTTTACTCAAATGATAAACAACAAATGGTGATATGTGCTGCTGATCAGAAAGAGCTCGAGGAGGCATATGGCATAATAAACAGTAATGTTGCGGTAAAAATTTTGGGAGAAGGTAAAAAGTCAGGTTCGATATAGTTGTTTGTGTTTTGTTTAAGAAATGAGTTTTGAAAAGAATCGTAACTGTTTGAAAACACACACACTTCACTCACACTTCATGCAGTTTCCACGTAATTTCTCGTTTCTCCCTAATTTTTACAAGTGTTTATATAAATCTATAGGAGCGGGAAATGTTTTCCAAGGGAGCTTTAGCCTTCTCTGGAAGTGCCTTCTGTAGTACAAACAATCAAGTTTTTTTGTCAATAACCTGAGTTAAACACGAGACTGAAGCTATATATTTTTTCTGTTTATACTATTTTTTCTGTTTCTGTAGTACTGTCTATCGAAAATTAAATAGCTAACAAGTAGAGTAGACCACCCAATTAATGGATTTGCGAAAGAATACAGGCTTCATTCTATTAAGAAGTTATAATGCACAGGTCGTTCGTTCGTGCATTGCCGCAGAAAGAATTGCTAGATTATATTATCAAATTTGCTTCTCAAAATGAAATTGAAACTTTTAACATATTTTTCAAACCTAATCAAAACGCACAAGACTGGTGAACAACATGACGCAATTTCATAAATTTCATTTTTTCGGATTGTGCTGCATTTCATACCTTACATTGGTATAAAAAAGATTGTTTTTCTAGCTAATTCTTCGTCAAGGCATATTAAGACACAATTAGATAAGACTTTGTGGTCGCTGGTGTAGGTTCACTGGCATCTTCAGGTATCTTGGTTGCGTTTGGTGAAGTTCCATCTGTGGTATCTATGTTCGGTAGTGGTGCTGGCTCCGGGGTATCAGTCTGTGTCGTCGGTCCTAGACGTGGTAATGACGATGTTGGTTTTCTGTTGGCTGGTGTCAATTTGTTGGGAGTAAGGTTCTCCGTTGAGACTTTTCGTATCAGCAGCAGATCCGTATCAATAGTATATTTGGGTGACTGCTCTTGTACAGGTGTGAATTGCCGGAGAAATTTTCTGTTTGTTAGTGTAATTCTGTTGGACAGTCGACTTTGACGCGGTATTGATCGTGTTGAAGGACTTCGATGGCTGTTCCAGACTTGTCCCATTTCGTAGGGTATGGTCCTGTTTCGTTCTGTATTCTTACGTGATGACCAATGGACAGAGGTGGTAATCTTCTTGTGTGTTCTGACCAAAGTTCCGCCATTCGCATGTGCCGGTTTCGTAAAGCCTCCCCTCGAGCATCAAGTGTTTCGCTCCAGGTTGCGTGTGGCCTATAACGGCTGGGGAAAATTGGTATGAAATCCTTAATGGTCTACCGAAGACGCATTGGACCGGTAATAAATTCGTATCGGTATCAGGCGTGTTACGATATTGTAGAACAGCAATTTGTAAGGCGTTTGTGTTGAGGCTACCAGTGGGGCCGATATTGTTCGTGATGAGGCGTTTTACAGTTTTAACGGCAACCTCGGCGCGGCAATTGGAGTGCGGGAATGCAACGGATGCGAGGCGGTGGTGTACCCCTTATTGTTTGAGGAACTACCGTGTTTTGACGGCGGTGAATTCTGGTCCGCCGTCAGTAGCGCATTCGTCTGGGATCGCAAAGGTGGTAAAGACGTGACGTAGGCAATTCAATAGTCCGTCGCAACCGTCGTTGGCTCGTTCGATAATAGTTAGAGTAACGGTCTACTATTACGAGATAGTTGGATCCTTTGTAGTGGAAATAATCCACACAGATGCACTGGAAGGGGTAGGCTGGTGAGATGGTTGGTGTAGGTGGTGCGCTGGGTTGGGATGGTGCCATCCGGTTGCAGTGGTTGCATTACGTACGCACTGCTGCGATATCTGATGTGATTCCCGGCCAGAAGACTGAGTCCTCTGCGCGGGATGTCATGGATGATATGCCCTAGAGTGCCGAGTGTAGCACATCCAAGATATTTTTCCGTAACAGTGGTGGGATAACCACACGATCTCTGTACATGATGACGCCGTCCACTGTGTAGAGGCTGTGGCGAAAATGGTTGTATTCTTGTAATGGTGATGAGAGGTCATCGCGTGAAGCTGGAAAGCCAGATTCGATGACATTCATGAGATTGTGCATAGTAGTGTCGCTGGCAGTTGCCATGCGTACCCTGTCCCAGGTTGTGGCGACGTTTGTAAGTGCTAATGAAGCCAGTGAAGCGATGGCTTCGTCAAAGCCGGTGTGCGTAGTGGTGTCCTTCAACTCTGCTATGTCGTCCTGGAGGTGAAGCATGGTGGGGTTCTCTAGACCTGTGGGGAGGCGGGAGATCGCATCGGCGGTTTTGTGACAGATACAAGGGATATGGATCATTCGGAACCTGTATCTCAGTGTCTTCTCCTTGAGTTTGCGTAGGTGGGGTTTGGGATGTTTTTCAATGTCCGATCACCGAATAGTTTGAGCAGAGGTTTGTGGTCTACAGCGATTGTGAGGTTGGTGCCTGGCTTTGAACCGAAGAACCTGGCTTTGTCGAAGTCGTCTGCGAGTGCCAGTGCCTCCACTTCTATTGGTGCATATCGAGATTCGGCGGCATGTGTGAAGCGGCTGCCGACCAGGCTTATCTTTTACCCGGTGTGGCAGCATAGTGGTCCAGTCGATTGGCATTCACAGTGCTTTTGGACTAGCCAAAAGCCGATGCCGTGTTTTGACCAATCAGTGGCAAGACAGGTGGGGCGTGTCTTGTCAAAGATGCGAATGCCCTCCTGGATTTCATTTATGATTACGGATTTGGATTCCTCAAAGTGTGTGTTGAGCTCCTCGTCCCAATAAAACTTTCGTGTTGGGTTTTAGTAGTTTTCTAAACGGTAGCATACGTTCAGTGGCTCCAATTACATATGAGACTTGATTGATCAGGCCAAACCAAGAGCAGATGTCGGTGATACTGCTCGGCTTTGGGAAATGGCGAATAGCATCGATGAATTTCCTGCTTAGGCGAACAGATTTTGATGTGATTTCAAACCCTGCGTACTCGAATGTATCTGATCCGAACAAAAATTTGTCTGTGTTGAGGATAATGCCGTTTTGATCGCAGATGTCTAGCCATTCGACAGTCTGATGGAAACTTTAGGTGAGGTTATTTGCCCAAAGTAAGATATCGTCTATGTATTTGGTTTTTTTTGGAATGTGTTATACAATCTCATCGAACCGGCGTGAGTAACCGTCCCCGAAGCAATGTACCCTTGTGGCGCTGACTTATACCGATAGCGACCATAGGGGGTGATAAAGGTGGTGAGGTGTCTGTCGTCTGGCTGAAGGGGAACGCTGTGATAACCTTTCCAGCAGTCGAACACTGGTTTCGTTTTGCCACTAGGAACAGAGCGGGCCTGGTGGAAAGGGCTCTGGGTGTGGTGGGTCTCCCTAGTGGCATTTGCATTTAGTGCCTGTAGGTCAACGGTTCGTCGTGGTTTACCGTTCTTTTTCGCACAGATGACCATCCTGTGGCAACAGGCGACAGGCTCGCCGATTGGGACGGGTTCAATCACGCCGAGGGCCACGTCTTGGTGAAGGCCAGCTTTCACCTCGTCCTGCCAGTGTAGAAGGACTGGGATTAATGTATGGTGTGCTTTAGGTCTCGCATTTGGGTCAATCATGAGTCGCATTGGTGGATCTTCCATGAGTGGCAGTTGTTGTTGCTCGCAATGTGTTAAACGTGCTGGACTTGTAGTGATGGAGCAGCTAGTCCTCTATTTTTTTCGGTTTTCTTCAGTTGCAGGGAAGGGCAGTACTGTGGGTTTAGGTGGCGGGAGTTGGCAACGTTGGCAGTCACATGAGCGCTTTGATGGGTGTTCTGCCACAACGTGAATAGACTGGTTTGTATGTATGTCTACTGTCATTGTGTCTCCCACGGTGGGGAAGCTGTTTGGGATGATTCCCAGGGCGGTGCATGTGTCACTGAGGAAGAGTTTATTTGAGTCACAAGTGACATATACAATTTGACGGCTCTCCAATACCTGTCCGTCTTTGGATTGACCAAAGAATCTCACGATGGCTGCACCGATGATATCGATGCCATTGTTGTTCGCAGCGTGCATGCGCATATGGACCGGAAGCAGGTCTTTCTGGCGTATTCCTAATTGTTTCATTATATGCATGCTGGCAAGGCAGCTATGGCATCCAGTGCAGTGTCTGCCATAGCATTCAATGTGACTGTGCGAGGTCTTGTACAATGCAGGATGTACCCTAGGGCTGTGTTGTCCTCTGGGTTACACTTCGCATTTATATGGAAGAATGGTTGGGACTGTGACGGTTTTTCACACAACGGTAATTGAGGTCATTGTAAGTATGGTGGTCTAGCAGGATTCCGGTGTTGCAATGCTTATGGCTGTTGAGTAGGTGGGTGGCCGAACGTCTGCCTGCTTCTTTGGCCTCTATGAACAGAAATGCCTCCTCCAGTATCATATTTTGATTTTCATCGCTGAGCGAGTATAGTTGGATGTCGCTGTCGGCGATCACAACTGTTAATGTGTCGCGTAGGATATTGTCCGTGTAGTTGATTTCTGTTGCGCAGTTGGGAAAGTTAATCGTAAATTTGCATACGCTGGCTTGTCCACGAAGACGTGCTCTGAAGCTGCGAATGGTTTCGTCACAGTCCTGGCGCATGTTGTGTAGTTTGATGCGGGCCACGATCGTGTTTCCCTCTCGTAGAGCGAGTTCGCGGATTGCAGCCATGACGTCGTCGATGGGTTTGTTCGTGAGGGTGCCGCCAGCGTTTCTGGTGAGGTCCTTAAGAAGCGTTTCATCACAGCATTTGAGTAATTGGATGACTTTGTCTTTGCCGGTTATTTTTGTGGCTTCGACATAATCCTGCCAGCGTGTTTGGAAATACGTCCATTCCTCACTGTACCCGGCTGCGGATATGGTTGGGCGTCTAACTTTTTCGATCTTGACCGTGGCGTTCATGCCCGTGGGTGTGTTTGTTGCTTGGTTGTTGTTGTGAACGCTGGTCGAGGGGATTTGTAATAATACCACTGCGAGTTGGTCCTAAGCTTCCTTTGTCTCGTACTCACAGTCTGGATAGGGTCATTTGTACCCAAAGCCCTCTATTAGTAAGAGTTGGGACAAACGGTTTGGGGCGAGCGCGGAGCCGCCATTTTGGTTCCTACTTGCAAAGTGAAACAATAATAATACTATTGGAAATTGGGTTTATATGCAAAAGAAGAAGGCAATTTAAGCTTATTCCATTGTAGTATCAAATATATTAGGAATAATAGCAAGCTCGTTGCGTTTTTTTAACGATTTGCGGCAGACCTGATTTAATTTCATTGGTTTGAGCTTCGTTTGCGGTTTACTAGTTCGTGCTTCAAATTGATCGTGACCCATTGTAAGAAGTATTTTTCGTACGTGAACGTGTTTTCTCGGCTTATGTTCCGACTCTGTAACAGGTTTTCAGGACCTTTAAGCTTGGTGGCAAGCGGCAATGTTATCCTGGCATCAGTGTTATCAAATAGTTGGACAAGACTTTGTTCGAAACTTCGAATCATATTAATCATGCAGTTTTGGTGCGGAAAAATATGTGTTCAAGATTTGTAACAATTTAATGGTAGTGAGTTGTTTATGCCCTCCAATTTAATCCAAGCATGACATTTTTTATTCTGAAAGATCACAAAATTTTCTTGCTTAGCAGAAAATGACAGACTTTTTTACTTTTTAGTTATTGAAATATGCATTGATTTGACCAAGATGCATTTGGCCTTAAACGTTTTATTCCTTTATATGAAGTTATTTCGCCTTTAACACTTTATAAAGTATTAAGGTTTATTTCTAATAAAGTTTGTTAAGGATTCTGCTGAAAATTTTGGTGAAGCATTTCTTTAAAATGAATATATTATTTCTATAACATGAAACATTTCTGTTGTTGAAGAACAGTCTGTTTGCTATAAATGCTACTGTTTGTAGTCTTTTATACAGTATATGAGTTTGATCCAATCTTTAATTTAGCAAAGAGTTAAATTTATTGGTTGAGGAATGACAAAACTTCTGTATGTGTTTAATGATCAAACAAGGGTGCGTTTGGATGGGGCTTAGCCCCGTTTGTTCAAATTCTATGCCTTGTATTGCCAGTGATATATATATATCAAAAAGCTAGCAGCACCTAAATATATATCAGAAAGCCAGAAATATTTTAATATACATTAAAAAGCCCAAATAACTGAAACTATGGAGATATGCCTCTGTGACCTTATAAACCAAAACCTACAATTAAAATATCATCAACAAGTCTAGAAGAGAAGTAATGTTCTACTTTGAGCTACAGAAGTAGGGTACATTTGTACAATTCATTACCAAAAATATATTGTACTCAGCTGTTTCAGTGAATATCCTAATTATAATTACTTCATTTTTAAATGATGAAATAAAAACACAAAATACAACATAGAAAATCATAAGAGTTTCTGTAATTTGGTATAGTTGTTTGTTTTAGTGTGGAAGTGGCTGAGAATTGAGAGGTTTGTAAATCAACCCATTTCAGAACATAATGAGATATTATCTTCAATTAAAAAACAAGCTTTGGAGTAAGAAAACTATTGAAACTGCATCAGCACGAACTTTGCAATGTTATTTGGCACAAAAATGTTTCTCTACTTGAGTCATTTAATTGAACCTTATATCAAAAGCAGTTCAGCACAACAATCACCATACGCAATCAAAATTCGTAAGTTCGACCTAAAGGCATTTCTTTCATTTTTTTCGTTATCCTCGATTCTTGCAATATGTAATGACATTTATTAGCCGTCAACAATCAGTTATTACAAACTTATCCATAACAAAACCCAATATTATCTCAAAATACTGTATTACTAGCAGCAATTGCTATACAAACACTAGCTCAAATTTCAAAACTAGGAACCAAAATGGCGGAAATTGATCAGGTGATCAATATTACCCAATCAACGTAAGCTAAACGGATAACAATAGATGTCCCAACTCTACTAATTGAGGGCTCTGTTTGTACCTCGGCATTTTCGTGCACGCGTAAAGTTATGACCTGCCTCTGGTGGATGGGAAGTACTCGGAGTTATTCAACGCCGCAGGAAAAATGGCGCCAAATATCCGCCATCGTTTAGATGGTGGTTTACAGTGTAATTTTTTCTTTATCTCGGGGTCAGGAGGGAGTGTTATTGATGCCTTTATTGGTGCTGCTCATTACTTTGGTTGTAGAGCTCCCTTTGGTTGATAAATTTCGTACATTTGTTCCTGCCCCTTGGCCAAATAGGTTCTGTGTTGTTGCTGATGGCGTGTCGCGTTTCGAACTACTTACAGTGTTGTATCGTCCGATCTTTTCGTGTGTATTTCGCTCGACTGCTGTTTTAGGTGGTTTAATTCTTGTTTGTCATAGATAAGACTTAGTCTATTTCACGAAATAGGTTCTTGTAAAATACATATTGAGAGACAAAATACAGAGGTAATTCGTTTACGAATGACAAACAACAATAACAGTTGGGTTCAGGCCCGTTATTGATCAACAATTATCCCGTTATTCTCTGACAACTATACTAATCGCTTTTTTCTTGTTTTCAAGGTTTAATGACAGAAAGACAGCAAGAATCTTTCAAAGATCACATGGGAGCGTCCATTCCCTTAATTGCTTTTCCCCAGAATGGGACGATGCACTTAGCATGTTTCAAAAAAGATTTGAAAGATGTGGAAGAAAAGCTTTACATGTATAACGAAGAAAACAAAATGGTTATGGTAGAATTACCTTTCGAAAAGGCTTTTCTTCATGTCGTAGCAAGATATATTATTTTGCACTGTAAAGACAAGTTGCCGACAAGTGTTGAAATGCAGTTGTTACAAAACAAACTTGCAATATCAGGTCAAAAAAATGCAGTGGAAACCTGCTGTGCTAAGATTTATCAACTTGCGGAAGGTATGAGGATACTTATAAATCATTGAATGTAGGGTTGTACGGATGGCCCAGAATATAATCAATCAATCATTGTATGACAATTATTTTCATTGAAACTAGACTGACTCTTCAATGTAAGATAAGTCTGACAGACTGGGTACTGGGTAGAGTAAAAAAAGACTGCAGGTATGAAGCCAGCAATCACTTAATACTTGCACGCGGAAAAGGATTATAAAATAAGAAATATTTTTGAATTTTCAATTAATCATTCTACGTTGAATGATTTTACATGTAAAATAACAAATTTCCAAGGAACACTACATCGTGAGTTAACAAAATATGAATCAATACAAAAATCGAGTAAAACTGTGAATTTTTGAGAAGTTTGAGTTGGAAGATGTGATATTTACAATCGAGGGTGCCAAAATAGAGACGCGACTGCTGAAGTGAGAGTGTTTTATTTTTAAGTGAAAAGTTGTAGCTACTTCTTCACTAGCTTTAAGTAAGGTATTTAAAAATATTTCGTACTTTTTGGATCTAGTTTTGTAGATCTAATTGGCCGTAAATCAATTATCCAAAAGATGCTCAGAAAACGAATTCCGTTGCACACTTCGCAAGACTTCATAATTTTTACATGAATATGCCCTTAGCTAATAACCGAGCTCAAGGTCTTTACGGAGAAATATCGGACCGACTCTTTTTGTACAGACCGAGCACGTAAGCGAGGTTTGTACAAAAAGACAGTGGTACGATATTTCTCAGTAAAGACTGAGAAAGCGAGGTTATTAAAAGGTTTATTATATGGCATTATTTGACCTGAAACGAAGCTTTCTTTCTTTCTCGTCTTCGCTGTTTTGTACCTGTTGCCTTTCGCTTTTCTAGTTTTCATCAGTAAAAAAGAAATCATTTCAAATTGTATTGTCTGGATAGTTAAACTGTTTTCCGAGTGATTTTCCTTCAGCTCACATTTGAAAATTTCGTTTTTTTTCGTTTTACTGTTTGCTTTACGAAGTTTGTTACATTTGGCAGTAAAATTACGCGTTTTGAACGGTGGTCGATTGCGGGAAAATAATGGTTTTTATTTTACAAGCTAAACTAAATTAGGTCACGAAAACTGATGGCATTTTATTTACTTTGACTACTGTAGGAAGATAACAATTTAACATCATCAGTTTCTTTTAGTTAATTGCACAGCTTACTTTATATTGCAGACTCATAAAATTTTTTTATAAGAATAGATCATATTCGTATTCTTTCAGGAAGTTAACAAAAACAGTAAAAAACGTTACTATTACAGCCATTTAAAAGTATCCATTTCCATACTGAACTATTTATTTCTTTTCTCTTCTCTCGTCCATTTCTTTTTGAAGTCCCTTCAGTATTTTTTATCTTTTCTTGCCTGTTGTATTTGACCTATACTCAGCAGGAAGCATGTTCACTCTTGTCGCAAGCAATATTTATAATAATGAAGCATTTGTAATACTAAATTTGTGTACAGAAAATTTCCTAAGAAATTTTTTGCGATATCATGACCGAGTGTGCTTTTCTTTTACATGTACACTATCAAATGTTGTGCCATAGTTGACAGGATCGTTATTATTTTATTTGGTATTCTCTTCAGGTCATAAATTTGTTTATTTGTGGCTTTCATGGTAGCCTTCGCTACAGTCTTGGCATGTTTTGTGAGTAAACGACAACATTTTTGAATGAATTCTTTTAAGAAGGTGGTGGCATAAACATAAGTGACAGAAACCTACTTGTGCTTTCATAAAACTTAATTCTCTTCATACTATTAACAAGGTGACTTTAAACTTCGAATATATTTTTGAAGTTTATAATAGATGCTTTCAAATTCCAGTCGTCAATTCCTCATAGCAAGCCATGCCTTTTTCCTGCTAACACGATCTCCTTTAATTGTCAAATTCATACAACAACACTCACATCAGAAAAATTCCATGCCACAAAAACTATTACCAGAACATTGTGATCGCTAGCTTGGTCTTTTAATACACTAAGGTCACATTGTGATCGCTAGCTTGGTATTTTAATACACCAAGGTAATACGCTTGGTCTTTTAATACACTGATATTGCAGGAAAACTGATGCACTTGAAGAAAAGTTATTGTCATATTAAGACACGCCATGTTGTTACTGTTTTCAAAAGATGACTGTCTAATATTGCCGTTTCTCACAGTTTAATGGAACATTTTTGTAATTTATCTCATTGCAAAAACGTTTTTCCCTAAAACATACGGTTTTTAGTATTTTGAGAAGCAAGTTTCCCATGTTTCAAACTTATTGAGGCTATAAATGTACATCACAACACTTAGAAATCTTTCCTTACAATCGACCAGTGTTTAAATTAATTTGTGTAGGGAAAGTCAGATCGAGCTAGAGCTGAAAATAACTCATAATATTTTCCAGACTATAGAAATAGCAATTGCGTCTAAAAGACCAAAAACTTCAGGCTATTAAGGCTGTTACCATGGAAACGGAATATATGAAAATAAGACAAAAAAACGAGTCTATTACTGTAAAATCTGTGTGTTGGCTATTGTCGAAGTAAGATTTAGGGCTTATACCTTATAACAAAGTGGGGGGAAAATTATTCTCAGGCAAAATATAAGGGATCTTCCACCTTAAGAGCATCAAATTGTTTGTCAGTAGCTTTACAACGTTTGCTAAGTTTACAAAAATAGTCTTTTCATTGTGTTTTTTTCAGAACAATACATACTTATGCATTAAGGAGAAACCGTGTGTTTTGTGAAATTGCTTAATAAGTTGTATTCATTTCCTTTTCTTAGGTTTGGAAGTTAGCAGTTTCAAGCCTGGAGCACCAGGAACGTCATCGATTTTCCTTCTTAATACTGGAAAGGCAATGCTTCCAAAAATTGAAAGTGAACACCACTGTGCAATTATAGTGACAACAAACAGAGTTTTCAGGTATTCTTATAGAATAAGAGCTGATCATGCTTGAATAGGTGCATTTAAGTGCCCCCTCTAAGTTATATATATAGGAAGTTTTTTTGTAAAGATTCTCCATGAAAAAACAGTGCTGGATGCGCGAAAGCAGAGCGTAAATATATATAGTAATATTGGAAAAAAATCACAAAAACTACAATTATATACAATTTACAATATATATACAAGAAGACGGAAGTTGGTGTATTAATTAAGGTGTACATAAAAGATAAAAGTTTCTCCGGATTTTAAGTGATTTTTATTGAGCTTTCGACTCGTTGCTTCGAGCCTTCATCAGAATGAGGATATTTATTTACACGTGCTTTTAGCTTGGAGACGTTTAGAGCGTCTAATTGGATTAGTGGGTGGATTAATGTGATTGGATGGGCTGAAATGCGTTGCCATTGGTTTTGGTCTATTGTGAATATGATTGGTGTTAATAATATTAGAGTGTAGTGTTCTAGTTTTGGTGTTGTTTGTAGCTTTTTTGTCCTTTTTCTTTAGTTGTGAGTATATGATGGGTATATAGATATGTCTGTTTATTGTGTCGTTGTCTTTACTGTACCAAGCTTCTTTAAATTTGCGTGTGTGTTTAGTCTGTGCGCGTCCGAGTACTTTAGTTTCTGTCCAGTCGAATGTGTGGTTGTTTCCATGGGTATGTTCTGCCGGTAGTGAGTTCGGATCTCGTCGTTTTATGGCGTTTTTGTGTTCTGTGAGTCTTGTTTCAATTTTCTTAGATGTTTCTCCTATGTATTGCTTTGAACAGTCTTTACATGGTATCATGTATATCGCGTCAGTTGTATCATGAATTGTTGTTTTGTCTTTATGTTTGGTGAAACATGACTTGAGTTTTTGTGTAGGTTTGTGGGCGACTTTAATATTAAATTGTCGAAGAAGTCTGGCAGTCATTTCTGATGTTCCGTTTATGTATGGTAATGTGACGATTTTTACTGTTTCGTCCGGTTTTTTGTTGCTTTTGTCGGTTTGTGTTTTGTTTTGTATTTTGTATATAGTTTTGTTTATGAAGTTTCTAGGGTAATTGTTTTTAATAAATGTGGAGTATAAGTAGTTGCGTTCTGTTTTTTTGGCTTCTTCCGTATTACGATGAGTGTTTATCATGTTGAAATGTGTTCGAATGCGGCTTATTTTGTGTTGTGTTGGATGATTGCTGTTGAAATCGAGTATTTGGTCTGTGTGGGTGGTTTTGCGGTATACTTGTGTGTTTAGTGTACCGTCATCTGTTCTGGTTAGTAGGATGTCGAGGAAGGTAAGTTGTTTGTCGTGCTTTTCGTCTTTAGTAAAGGTAATGTTCTTTGTGGTATTGTTTATGGTGTGTAGGATTTGTTCAGTTTTGTCTTTCTTGACTATGGCAAAGATGTTGTCGACATATCTTTTCCATAGTCTGATGTTTGTGTTTTTTGAAACTTATAAAATTTTCAAACTTATAAAATCGACATATGGGATAGATACTCTCAGAAGAAGAAGAGAATGGGAATTATTCGCACGTAAAGAGTCATCAACATTGGAGCAGCTTCACTTCCTACACAAATGCAAACAACAACGAATCCTACCAAACAGCATCAACTATCGACAACCATTAAAAACAACTCACGCTCAACAAATTGCACAGTCAAACGGTCGCCTTATGTTAAACGTCCTCATGTCAGATGCCCACAACCGCTGACGAATCTACCGTCATAAACTACAAGAACATCAAAAAACCGTAACAACATACACTACACAATCAGACGCCAAATCAATTAATGAAGCCATCAAAAAAGCAACATCCGCATATAGAAGAAAACGACACCACGAACTTCATCGAAAATTGCAAGAATCAAGATCTTACAAACAACTCCATCCCAACACAAACGAATTTGTGACAAACACCTCGAACAAACCACTAACCGAGCAGCAAACTAAAATTTTAAACAAAGGATTAAATTACAACTTTAAAGACGCGAACAAACTTGACTACGTTGCCGACCTGGAATCCGCTTTAAAGTACACCAACTTAACAGACCAAACGAAAGAAGACATTCGTCACAAAATCACAAATAACCTCTGCCACAAACCACCTGTCACCCTAAACTACGAAGAACTACGAGCAATTAAAAACCTACAAAACGACGACCAAATAATCATATTACGAGCTGACAAAGGACGCAAAACAGTTATCATGGACAGATCAGAATACATCGACAAAGCCAAAACCCTCCTACAAGACACCACCACCTACGAACTTCTCCACACAGACCCCAGCAAAACGACCACCAACCGCATCAACCAGAAACTGAAACAACTAAAAGACAAAAAGAAACTAAACGAAAACGACTACAGAAGAATCCGACCCAATGACGCATCCACCGCCAAATTCTACAGACTACCAAAAATCCACAAAGAAAACAACCCACTTCAACCTATCGTATCGCTTCCAGGATCACCTACGTATGAACTTTCAAAATATCTTTATAACATTCTGTATCCATTAGTCAAAAATTCACCTCACACCATCAGAAATGCCACCACTTTCCTCGCCAGTATTGAAAACATTAAACTACGACCAGACGAAATCATGATATCCTACGACGTGACATCACTCTTCACATCCATACCACTAGACATCGCCAAACAAATTACAAACGAACTACTCACAAGCGACAAAACTTGGCAAGCTACAACACAACTAGACAAAAATGACATCCTAGACTTACTCAACCTTTGCCTCTCCCCTGAATTCACCTTCCAAAACACATACTACAGACAAATTTCAGGCTAACCAATGGGATCACCACTATCCACCTTCCTCGCAGAACCTGTCATGCAACACCTCGAAACACAATCAGTCACAAAAAACACAAATATCAGACTATGGAAAAGATATGTCGACAACATCTTTGCCATAGTCAAGAAAGACAAAACTGAACAAATCCTACACACCATAAACTGTACCACAAAGAACATTACCTTTACTAAAGACGAAGAGCGCAACAAACAACTTACCTTCCTCTACATCCTACTAACCAGAACAGATGACGGTACACTAAACACACAAGTATACCGCGAAACCACCCACACAGACCAAATACTCGATTTCAACAGCAATCATCCAACACAACACAAAATAAGCTGCATTCGAACACATTTGAACATGATAAACACTCATTGTAATACGGAAGAAGCCAAAAAAACAGAACGCAACTACTTATACTCCACATTTATTAAAAACAATTACCCTAGAAACTTCATAAACAAAACTATATACAAAATACAAAACAAAACACAAACCGACAAAAGCAACAAAAAACCGGACGAAACAGTAAAAATCGTCACATTACCATACATAAACGGAACATCAGAAATGACTGCCAGACTTCTTCGACAATTTAATATTAAAGTCGCCCACAAACCTACACAAAAACTCAAATCATGTTTCACCAAACATAAAGACAAAACAACAATTCATGATACAACTGACGCGATCTACATGATACCATGTAAAGACTGTTCAAAGCAATACATAGGAGAAACATCTAAGAAAATTGAAACAAGACTCACAGAACACAAAAACGCCATAAAACGACGAGATCCGAACTCACTACCGGCAGAACATACCCATGGAAACAACCACACATTCGACTGGACAGAAACTAAAGTACTAGGACGCGCACAGACTAAACACGCACGCGAATTTAAAGAAGCTTGGTACAGTAAAGACAACGACACAATAAACAGACATATCGACATACCCATCATATACTCACAACTAAAGAAAAAGGACATAAAAACTACAAACAACACCAAAACTAAAACACTACACTCTAATATTATTAACACCAATCATATTCACAATACACCAAAACCCATGGCAACGCATTTCGCCCCATCCAATCACATTAATCCACCCACTCATCCAATTAGACGCGCTAAACGTCTCCAAGCTAAAAAGCACGTGTAAATAAATATTTTTCATTCTGATGAAGGCTCGGAGCAACGAGTCGAAAGCTCAATAAAACTCACTTTAAATCCGGAGAAACTTTTATCTTTTATGTATATATACATATATATATATATATATATATTATTATGGATAATATTCCTGGATAAAAGAGCGCTCAATATTCTATATATTAGAAGAGCGTAAGATAAAATGAACTAAAATAAAATGGACAATTGTTTGCTGTCGCTACTGGAGTTTCACGCCGTAGGGCGATCTTCAGGCAACTGACAGATTATATATTATTTGCTGACTATATACATCGACTAAAAGGTGTTAAGTTACATGACGGCATGCACTAAACATATCGGAACGTTTATTTAAAATGTTCTTTTACGTCCTTTCAGGATAAGTAGCCTTTCTTCAAGGCAAAGACGGCAGGTTCTTTGGTTTTTGTTCGGAGGTGGAAGTTGTTTGATGAAGTCCCATTTAATGTTGTAGTTACGTTTGTTTTCTTTCAGTGTCCACGTGTATTTAGAAAGTTCTGTCTCGTTCCGGTATTTAATGTTCGTAATTGATTTAATGTGGTTTCGATATCGTGTCTTAAAAGCGCATGCAGTAACACCTATATAAGTTTTTGTTTCGTTGTTGTCAGTCGTTGTCACGTCGGCTTTGTAAATCCCGTTGGGTTTCAGGCAATTGCCATTTGTCGGGCATAGATGTTTCTGTCTGCAGTTACATTTCTTTGGTGGTTTGTTCTTGTTCTGGGTTGTGTCTGGGTTAAGTCTTTTTAAAATAGTCTTGTTGTGTCTGGTTATGAAAGTTTTCATGTTTTAGCGCAGCTTACGCGTATTGTGTGTCGGTTGAATATCTTGGAGAGTATAGTATTTGGTGGGAAATGTTTGTCGATAAGTTGTAGGAAGTCATGGTCGATGTGTTTTACGTTTTGCTGTATGGTGGGTTAAACCAAGTGACGTTACGTTTTCTGTTGTACGTGGTGTTTACATTGTGTTTGATGGATTAAAGGTGAGTTGGGTGGTGAAGT